ATAAATATGAACAGGTACTGTACAATAGTGTACAGGAGTGCAGGCTTTGGGTCTGTACAACAATTTGTTATAGACAGCTATTGCACCATCCTGCACCCACAGACCGGCCTGCTCTTTCTCAGCTTGGCAGGGTTGAAAGGCCCCGCCCCTCTGCTCTGTTTGGGGAGGGCTCCCAGGACAGGAGGAGCAGGTGGTCCAGCATGCAAATTCAGGACAAGGTAGAGGTTCTGTGTACCTAGAGAAAGAGCAGCAATATGACAGGGTGATTTTTCCTGGTGCTTTTCCTACCCGGTGGCAAGATAATGGTCAGAGAGGTACAGCGCTTCCAATTTTAAGTGAAAACTGCAAGAGGGGAGCAGTGCTGTCAGCCTGGCCAGGTTGATATTGAGCAGTGTGTGAAAGGGACCGTGGACATGACTTGGTCAGTATGACCGGTGTGTGAGAGGAACTCCAGACCTGACCAGGTCATGTTCGCAGCCCGTGAGAGCTACCCTGGACTTGACCGGGTCAACATGAACAGCGTGTGTGAGTGCATTTCCTGTCTCAGGTGCAAACTCCGCTCTTGTTTTCTGTCACGCTCGTTTGAGAATCATCTGCCATCTGCGGTCTGCAGGAGAACCCATCCTCCAGAGAGCATGAGGGAAAGTTCATCCTGTTTTTTTTTTTTTTTAACCACAGTTTCCATGAAAAATAAAAAATGCCGCTTTTGCAATAACAGCTCGATGCTGAATGCAAAAATAGCAGCGGAGCTGAACTCCTGACCGGCAGGGCAGTGCTTTTGTTTGATGCTGAATCCAAGGCCCCGGCTGCACACGTACTGCTGTGCCTCCGATTCGCCGCAGCCGGTCAGACAGTTACGCAATCAGCCCACTTATGGATCGCTTTCTCTTTCACCACAACCATACGGCGAGACCTTGACAGGGAAATGAAAGGGCGATCGATGAGCCTGAAAGTGCGTACCATGATTTTACATCATTTCAGTGTACCAAAATGCGTGCGTTAACTTCTCAAGTATTAAAAGGAAACTTTCATGAACTGCAGGTTTATGAATAGAGAATACTACCTTAAAAAAAAAAGTTTGACGTGCCCATCCACTTTGACTGTGACACTATTTGACCATGAGATAACACATTGATCAGGCTACATGGATCAGTAGTCACAGGCTTCATCAGTATTAAATTCAGAGCTTAAAAGAGGCCTGCATAACACTGTGTTGCACTGGTGCTTATTAACATTCCTGCAGATGTGAGTGAAGAAAGACCTTTCTACAGTGAGTCATTATTTACACAGAAAGAACTGGAGTTTCATCCACTGGGTTTGATGCATGAACCCTATCGCCTGGCGCTGTGCATATTATGTTCCAAACCTCTTCATCACCTTGTCTCCCACAGTAATACGTTTCACAGTGGGAGATGTGGTCACGGATTGATTTTTTTTTGACTTCCTGTCGTGACTTCCTGTGGAATTACTCGCTGTTAGGGGTGAAACTTCGCCTTAATGAGCAGAGAGAGAGACGATCGCGGTTAATTACTAGCTCTTGCTCTGTAGTTAATGGGTAAAATGGCAGCATTAGCGTGACTGTTTATGAAATGGCAACACATTCCTCGAGGTTCAGACGCTTCACTCGGCAACCATGACAGGTGGGCTAGAATCATGGGCTTGAGATGAAAGCTTAAACTACCAGCGCTGACTTCAGCTGCTGCATTGGATCACATTTACTCTCGTCCGTATAACAGAGGCCCTAGTGTTGGACTCACATGTTTAACACCTGTCCCTGTATTTGTTGTGGGAGCACAACAAATAGAAACAACTTTTTCTAAATCTTTGATGTGTGTGTAGTGTGCGACTAGATTGTGGCAGCAGTGTAGCATAGTGGTTAAGGAGCAGGACTCGTGACCGAAAGGTTGCCAGTTCAATTCCCCGCTGGGGCACTGCTGTTGTATGCTTGGACAAGGTACTTAACCCACAGTTGCCCCAGTAAATATCCAGCTGCATAAATGGATAACATTGTAAAAAAAAAAAAAAAAAAAGTATAACCTATGTAAGTAGCCCTGGATAAGAATGGCTTCTAAATGCAATAATGTAGATTGGACCACGAACCCTCAACCCTCCAGTGATAACGTGGAAGCTCGAACCACAAGCCTGCTAAACTGCGCTCAGGATCTGCCAGCTGTGCAGAACGGTGGCGGCGTGGACGCCTCTGCTTTTGATTTCCTGTTTGAAATAAATGTGCATTTTTCCCTTTGTTCAGCATGCGGTGAAAGGCCTCCGTGGACGGGTTTACATAATAAGGCGTTCGGGGAGGGATTAAGTATGAATCACCGCAGGAGTGCCTGTGAAAGATGTTTTCCCCCTCGGTCGAGATGCTGCATCCGCAGTGCCTGCTCTGCGCGGTCGGCGTCGCGGCGATGACTCACCGGGGAAACGGACCCGGTTGCCATGGCAGCTGCAAGCCCTCGCTCTGACACCGGCTCCTAACCCGTCTGACTGATGGCCTTAAACACCATGTCACTCACTCTTGTTGTGTGCCAACAAATGCGAATAATTGAACGTCTCGGATATCAAAGAGGCGTAAGTGGGCTCTCAGTGGACAGACTCCTTGTCAGACTTCTTGGGATTTCGGTGGATGTTCGGAAGTGGTTCATTTTTGCGGCCAGCACGAAAGTGGCAGGTTTAGCTCCTTTTTTATCACCTATTGTAGGGATGTGAATATTCCTGCCTCCTGTTTGTTTTTGTTTGTGAAAACGCATAGCGTCAATCCCTCCTCCGCAGTGCGCTCGGCCAAATGCGCCAATATCCGTTACATAAAGTCTATTATTAGCTTATTGTGCGGTGTGCGCATTCTGACACTTGTCTGAGAATGCTTCTTTTCGGTTTGGGGTGAAAGCATTGTCCCTGTTGGGCAGTTCAGGACACAGGGAAGACACAGACCACAAACTGGAAAATAAAGTAACTCAAAAAAGTACTGTGAGCAGACCATTAATCCAGAGTTTTGACAAGCACTTTTTTTCCATTGCCTTGTTTATCATTCACACAGAGTTCTCAGGACCTCACTGAAGGGGAGGGTGCTTCTGATCGCTGTAAATCGCTCAGGACCTCACCAAAGGGTGGGAAGCTCTTTTTCACGTAAAGGGGTCAGGACCTCACTGCAGGGTAGGGTGCACGGTATCAAGGTTGTGTGCACTTCAGGCCAGTGATTTGGAAGTGCAGAACCGAGCCTCGTGATTCTCAGTACTGACCCTTAGTCCTTCTTTTTGTATTTGTATTGAAATTGTATTGTCTTTATTTGGGTTGACCAATCAATCAACTTTTTGGTATTGTGCCAAAACCAATCAAAAACCAATTTGATTTCTATTTAGAAATAGATATAAAAAAGTGAGACTGAATGTGAAAAACTGAAAAATATTCCCTGACCCCTTGCAAAATGCGATTGAGAGAACCACTATATGTATGTGTGAATAGACAGGCCGCATGTATCTGGGTCTTTAATGACCGTCAGTCTGTCGTAGGGTGGTGAGGCAGGATATAGGCTCTCTGTTCTTGTCCTCGGTGCTGCAATGTGAGTGGATGGTTCAGAGAAGGCCACAGCTGGATGGGACGTGAGTGTTCAGGCCCCCTTCGCAGTGCATATTGATTGTCTGGGTCTGATCTGATCTCCAGGCATGCATATGGGAGAGAGACACACGGAGTGTATCCCACAGTATCAATTGTGTAAGTGCACTTAATGCATACTGCAGTAGTTAAGGTCCTATAATGCAGACTTTCAGCTCATATTTAAGTACAACGTGATGAACTGGGTCCTATCAAGCAGGCCCTCGCTTATTTTTCCATTTTTAAAAACAGAGCAGTGAATCTTTAACTGTCCTGACTTTGACTCATTCCTTGGAGCTTCATGAGACCATTTTATATGACATATATACTGTATATTGCTTTAGTAAATTAGTAATGCTGCAACTCTGAGGGGAAGCTTGAATGAATAGCTGGTGCTCTACCTGCACACTGATCTCCCAATAAATGTCTGTATGCGGTGAGAAACCCCGTCAGGAGCATAGCACTGTCTCACAAAGTAATACTGTTGTCAAAATGTTGGGAACGTGCCATTGCTAACCGGACAGATCTGATTGAGAGCTCCGTCTGTTGCAGGTGGCAGCTACTGTTCCAGGTTTCAGGTCCTACCTCGCACCTGGAAATGCAGTGAATGTGTGAATGTTTCTGTTGCTTTCTAGGGCAGATGTTAACATACTCAGCGCTTCACAAAGTTGTTTGACTCGTAATAAACCTTGTAGGAATGTTCTAGATTCCTGCTGGTTGTTCATGGCCTGTCATGTTTCATTTTGCTGTGAGGATGTGAGGAGAGGTTCTCATGATGTGTTCACACACACCTTGGTTTTGTTTACCGAGTTGCTATTGGAAACCGAGGAAGTAGCCCATTGCATACTGGATAGACAGAGGCTTTATTTACAAAGTACGTCATCCTACTGCTCCACTGGTGTTCGATGAGTGCACCGCCCAGGTTTCCCCAAACGTCCCCGAACAGCTCTCTGAAAAAGCCACCGGGTAATATAGCTGTTGCTTCAGACATTTTCACACTCCTTGCAGTCTGAAGACCTTTTTATAACGGCGGGTGTTGTTGAGCTTGAGGGACCATGTTTGATTCAGATCAAGGTCACCAGACACTTTCCATTGCAATGATTCTTGCGGGGGGGCACTTCATTTTTGTTCACAGTGCATGTATTTTTCCATCTGCTGGTGTGTTTTAAATGCTGCCGGTGAGTGTTGTAAATGTCACAGCCAAATCTGGCATCTGAAAGGATGACATGGCTGTCAAAGCCAGTCCTTTGTTGCTGTGTTTCTGTTGCTGCTGTCTACAGGTGTCACAGTAAGTGAGCCCTGAACCTTGCACACAAAAGACAGATGCAGGCAGTCTAACAGCTGTAGCGCTCTGAGGTTTCTGCTGATAAATGTCGTTCAGCAATGCTAATATTCCATGCAATTGGGGCGGCAGTGTAGCATAGTGGTTAAGGAGCTGGGCTCCTAACTGAAAGGTTGCTGGTTCAATTCCACTGCCACTGTACCCTTGGGCAAGGTACTTAACCCACAATTGCCTCAGTAAATATCCACCTGTATAAATGGATAACATTGTTTAAAAAAAAAAAACTGTAACTGATGTAAGTTACACTGGATGCCCATAATGTAAAGTAATGTGTCATGTTTATACTTCGCAATTTAAGTATATCTTGGGCTAGACTTTCAGAGCAGCTTTTTTTGTTGGTCTTGTGAGAGAACAGATGGAGAGCACTCCAGCATTGCAACAGTGGGCGTGGTACATTGAGAACACTAAAACTGTAAATGTAAGTCTGCTGATCACCATCGCAGCTTCCAGCTGCCCATGTCTAGCTGATGATGGTGAGAGCTGAAGAAAGGAGGTGAAGAAATGCGAGGTGGGAATGCGCACCCACCCTGCACACCCACCCCTGCGTGCTCGCACCTCCTTTGGGTCCTGGCAGGAACCCGCTGTCGGTGCCAGCGGGAAGAAGCTTGCATGGAGACAGTGGCTATGCTCATTGGTGGGCACGGTGCCCCCCCTCCCGCGGACCCCCCCAGAGGGGGGACAGCTGCAGCCATTATCAGGGATCAAACGGCCCAGACCGCGCACGGCTTGCGTTTCAGGACGGGAGGATCTGCCCCCGCCGGCTTCAGACCCCATAAGCTCTCTGCCGTCGCTCACTCCCTGTTCCGAGGGCCTCATCAATCTAACCACAGTGTGCTTTGTCATTAACATTGAGCCACACGTTTAATCCTAAGGTCACATTCTGCATGCTGTTGAGTATTACAGAGGAATCGTGCCTAATATGTGAAATGGACAGTTTTGCGGAGCGATGCTGATGTGATGATTAATGTAGGGTTGTAGCCAGAAGGTTTCGGGTTCAAGTTCTAGTGTGGACAATGCTTCTGTACATTTGAGGAAGGTCCATGCAGCAGTGTGTTGTAGTGGGAGCAGGTCTCAGAACCCAAAGCTCCAGTTCACAGGTGGGGCTGCTGTTGCCTTGAGCAGGGTACTAAACTTGAATCACTTCATTAATCATTAATCTAAAGACAGCATGTTAAATGGAAACTTGTAAGAAGTAATTTGTAAATGAAAGTAAATGTAGAAGAGGCTGGGTGTCAAAGAAAATAAGTAAAAATAACTTAACATGATAGCAAAACCGAAAGCTTGAATTTAACCCCAGCACTGCTATACACACACATGCACAGAATATGTGGTAAAACACTATTTCCTGCTATGTAAAAGTACACAGGTTCACACGTTATTGTCTATGTCATGAATGGCAATGAAGTGTACGGGTAATTGCTCTATAAGAAATACAGTAAACCCCTGGAAAATGATATCTTGTGTCATGTCATTGCAACTCTTAGGCCAGATTGCTTGAGCCGCACTGTGATGCCGTCAGTGAGATGCAGATCATTAGGGGACATCGTGAAGCCCAGATGCAGCTCTCCTCTGTGTGGGAGTTTGCTGAGTGACTGTCTCTGTCACTTCCTACTGCAGCTAACTTTCACAAGCAGCAATTTAGTCCATATATATACTTTGTCACTAAATTACTTAATTACTGTATCACTTGAAGGCTTTATTTATATCTTTGTCTAGCAAACAACCTGATTGAAGGCGATTTGTAAAGTTCTCTGAACATATCTGTTTATACAGGCAGATATTGACTGAGGCAGGTGAGATTATGCATGTTGCTCTAGGCTGCAACTGAGGCCTGAAACCTGCAACATTCTGGTTACAAGCCCAGCTCCTTAAACGTCACTGCAAACGTACAGAAAGAAGGCTTGGGTTGTCAGAGATCTGAACGTGTCATGAATTGCATGCGAGCTGTCAGTATCCAGCTCTGCGTGGTGCGGCTACATTCCTGGGCTGGGCGGAGCCACGCCGTTTTGTTGGGTCCCGTCGGGCCTCGTCACTCTTTTTGCCATTGACGGGGCGGTGGGGGGGGGGCAAAGGGGGTTTTTCTGTGGCTGGTGTCTTGCAGACCATGGGCATAAGCATGTCACAGGACACACCCGCACGCACACACGTGCATAAGCGCTTGTGTAATCTGGACGGTCCAAGGTTACAGCAGTATTAAATAATCCAGCCCCCTAGCGAGAGTGTCTGCCCAAAGGGGACTCCTATTGACACTCCTGTCACAGAACAAAGAGGACTTAACAAATGACTGGACTGGCACCGAGGGCAGCCGCTCGGGTGAAAGTTTGTGAGAACACTGTGACCAGATTGCGGTGATCAAGTGTGACATGGGGGAGTTTTGCCTGCATGCTTACTGTTTATTTATTTGTTTTGTGTGTGTGTGGGGGGGGAGCTTCTAGGAAATGTCAGCTACTATAACATCACCCTGTGTGCTCAACCCTGCAATAAGTGTGTGCAGTTTTCAGCGTCAGAGTAAAAGTGCAGCGATTGTTGTTTGTGTTATTTGTTTGCAAAGCAGGCATCCTTCTCCAGGGTAGCTTTCATGGCTCACAGTAACCATTTACACAGCTGGGTGTTTACCAAAGCAATTCAGCTTAAAATGCCTTGATCAGAGGTACAACCGCAGTGTCCCCCAGGAAGCAAAGCCACACTTTTAGGTCAAAAGCTCAACTGTTCTTCTGGAGATGGACATGGAAGTGCAGGGGGTTTTTTGTGCTTTGTAAATTTCGAGCATATATACTTGCCCTCTGTTTTGTGTTTTTCCTGTTTGTGGATACTGCTGCTTAGTTTTTTTTTTTTTCTCAAGTTGGGTCAATTCTGTCATCCACCAAAACAGATGAAGAAGATGGTCTTAGTTTGATTTGCTTTTACCTTTGGCGGCCAGTTAAAATATGCTGATAAAATTCTGCATTTTTTTCTGACACTGCAGAGGTTTTTTGTGACTTCTCCACCTTTCAAGAGCAAGTAATTTATCTTATTGTATATAACTGTTATAGATGTCCACCTGGATCATCTGACACCTTTGGTTTAGATCCATAATTACTTGAATTGTTTGTATTAAATGTGAAGTGCTCTGTGACAGTTCTTTTGGCCAGAGTACTGTGTTAGATAAAATTAATTGATTGGGTGAAAATGATTAATGAAAAACAACTACTCCAGCAGCTGAAGCCTGGACCTGCCTGCCCTTAACAGAGGTGGCCTCAGTCACGGCTGATGAATGCATCATGCAGCAGCGCTAAGGGTAGCGTCTCCCCGGGCCTTTTGGGATGCACGCTGTCGGCCGCGCAGCTGAAGCAGAAAGATAGCCAAATCGCAAAAATATCAACCGGCGGCGCACATAATTCACCAGAGGAGCACAGGAAATGGACAGGAGTTGCATAATGGCATCTCCACGCTCATGTTCACTAATGTGGGCTTTTCCCTTCTGCTCAGTCGTAAAGCATGGCTCCTGTAAGGGCCTTTTGTCTTGTGCATACTAGCTGCATGCAGCTGTGATGAATGTGCGACATGTGCATATTAACTCTGCCTGTGACATTCGTATGTCCTGTAGCTCTGAGTGTTTTGCCCTGCAGGCCAGCATTTTATCAGTTTAAGGAGTATCTGATGTGAGGCAGGTCCCACTTCAGTATTCTGGCTCATAAATCCAGGAGCTCTGAAACAAAGCGTTTGCTCTGCAGTGAGTCTTGTAAATAGAGGCCTTGTATTGTGTACATTGTTAGCCACTTGTAGTGAGATACGGGGTTGCTAAGTTACAGCACTCGTAATCACCGGCCTGTAGCTGTCAGTCCAGATCAGTTGTGTTCAGGCCTGTGCAGATAATCAGTGCGGTGATCGTCCATAAGATGTGGGCATTACTGCAGTGTTGCATTTCCTCTGTGTGTTTCCTCAACTTTATCATTCACTAACGAGTGCACACCCATTGTTCTGTCTGCAGCTTTTATGTATTTATTACAGCCTGCTAGCCAGGCCCCACATCTTTAAATATACCGACCACTTTCAGGAGGAAAAAGGAGGTCTGCCAAGCGTGACAGTAATGTTTTTGGAAGGTAAATTTGTTTTGACTGATAGCATGAATTTGATGAGTTCGCTCCAGTTCTTCTCTCAGTCCTTTGGAGTGGGAAAGCTTAAGGTGCATCTTTTGTTTGTTAGACATTTTAGCCACGCTATTTTTATTTATCTCTTAGAAATGAACATGTGTGCATGCATATATTGAGTGTTTTTCCCCTAAATAGAGAATCTGTGCTGTTGTCATCTTTAATACAGACACCCAAGTGTCTGTATTTCATTGCTAAGAAACACAGTACAGGTTGGTGTAAGGTACAAAGTTGTGTGTGTGTGTCTGTGTGAGTGTGTATGTGTGAGTTTGTGTTTCTGAAGTGTAGAATGTTACGTTGACAGTTATGAGACAGAACCAGCAGTCTGTCTTCAGAAATCTGGAAATCACAATAACAAACACTCATGCGCCTGCCATAACAATGCTTCAGTTTTTTTTCCTGTCTTTCACTAAAGAACTCGAAGCAGCTCCTGTGTGGCTCAGATGGTAAAAGCCCTTGTTTGAAGTACAGGCCGAGTCCTACAGCCCGGTTTCAAAACCGCCCACATCGGTTGCTGTCGGTGACCAGGAGCCCGCACTGGTGGAACAAACTGGGTTCACTCTGTTGGTGATAGGGGTTGGTAGGCTGCCCATTGTCCACTCATTGCTTTGCTCTTGGAACCCTAGGACTCACTTGGGTGCAGATGAGTTGCTCAGATCAGGAGATCTATCCTCAAATGGCATTAGCCTCCTGGTGTAGTGCAGGACTTGTAGAATGGAAAATATTGGCAGTGAGCAGTGCATGTGTGCAGGAGGATTGCATTTGCCTAGCCCATGCTCTAAATGGGTTCAGCAGGTGTCCCAGCAGTGGTGATGAGTTTAATTGTATAATTGCCAAGTGCTGGTTGGGTGGAAGGGGAGATGCAGGAGAAACATAAATAACAAAGTGCTCCGTTTAGCAGATAAAGTTAAGTAGCAAAACAAGAGAAAATTGTCCTGAATTGACCATGTTTGTGCCACTCCTCTTTCAATGCTGTTTGCAATTGGTTTTGTAAAATCCATTAAAACCAATA